CGTCCACATTTTGTATTTGTTGTGCCACGTGGCGTATGCGCCACTTGAATGTGAAGTGCTTCAGTATTCGCACTGAAGAGTACGTGGCATTCGCGTTTAGTATATGCATGTGCATATATCTATTCACATAGCTCTCATCAGCTTATGCGGCAACAGATATCTGCTTAGTTCTCTATTCTCTACGCTCTCTTGCCTAGGGTATTTTAACTTTGCTTTGGCATTTGCAATGCATTTATAAAAATGTCATTAATGCAAATGTATATATTTAAATATAAAGGGTTATTTAGGAAAGCCTAATTAGTCCACATAGTTAATGAGAAATATTATTGGACATTCCGGTCGCAATAGTGACAGAAAGCCTCAAGCGCTCCTGAGCAAAATCAAAATGACTACTCAACTACATTCAGACCCCATCGGTATAATATGTCTGTATTAAAGCATAGCTCACATCTGTCAGACGTCTGCAAGGGTAGTTAATCGTCGGCATGCCGAAGGTTATTGTTCACACTTCAAGCTAAACCTTAACTTGCAAATCTCTTTATCGTAAGCTGTGTATCATTGTCGCTGTTGTTGCCATGATCTGATCCGTGTTAATATACAAAGGATTGTGTCCGCTGGCGACAAAGCCGTTGCCATGCTTTCGACTCGTTTGCCTGGCCATTTTGCCATTTGGCCATTTGCCGGCAGTTGCTCTTTGCTTTTAATTTGTTTTAATGAACTTTCATGTGATTTTATTCGGGTGCTGCCTCTGTTGCAATATGCTCGCTCCCTTGTATAATTACAGGCACCATTGCATTGGCTCTGGCTCTGGCCCTCCCCGAGGCAGCCCGGCAGCCCTGCAGGCCATGTTCTGCACTTTTAGCCCCGCACTTGGCGGAGGGGATCGCCCTTCCCGAGACTCGGTTGAGCTGAAGTGCGTGGCTTTCATTAATTTTAATGAGTTTTAAAAGTTGTTGCCGTTTTTTGCTATGCCCAAGCCCCGCTCTCGGCGTAGTCCTAATGCCCCTCAAGCCACCAACTGGGGCAGACGCTTTTTATTTAATTTTATTTCATTTATACACTTTTTCAGCAAGTTTCGCCAGCTTTTGCTGCGTTGCAATCTCTTGCTGTTGGTGCGACTGTCGTCATTTGCACACAACAACAACGACAGAGTTTTATCTATCACACACACGCACACACACTCGCATACACAGGCGTATAGATGTACTGCGCGACATTTGTTTCTATTTCGAGCTGTAACCCAGCGAATGACTAGAGGCAACATTGCGTATACGCAACGCTGCCTGCCAAGTCAACTCAACTCAACTAGACACGGGCTGAGTATGTTTTTCGCCCTTAAATAACTTTCAGATGCATGTGTATTTGTGTGTAGCTCAGTTGAAGTTGCAATGCTCTCTACTTAAAACGCCCCCTCAAACCCCCCTCCACCCCTGATATCATTCCCCGCAGCAGCTGGCTGTGTTCCCATTTTGGCTGCACAAAGTAAATAAAGAAAAAAAATATATGAAAAAAAATTGCTTTGAAATTCGCCTGTTGGGACAAGGCAGCTGTTCTTAAATAAGACAATACAATGGAGAAATAAATGCGGAATACAAAGTAATATACAGATAAAGATTCAAATAACAAGTAAATAGCTTTCACTCATCGAATGCTTTTACATATAAGCTTGGTTGGGCACTCAAGAGTGTTGCAATCACTCGTGATTCTCAACGTTTGCAACAGATTATCGAGATTCAAAGTAAATTAGAGAGTTTCCGCTAAAGAGTTTTAGTGGATGTCCCTCACAAGGCTGCAAGCTTGCTTTGAGCCGAATCGCTTCGCATTCAAAACTCTTGCTTTTAATTTAACATAAACCGAACCTGAGGACGAATTAGTGGATTAATGAAAAACGGAAACTAACACTTAAACGAACCATATTTTTCAGAAGACAGTTTGCTTCAAACAAGTTTGTTTTTATTGTGTTAATTGAAATTAAAATAAAATATTTAGGTATCAATAAATTGATTTTTTTTATTACTTTTAGCGTGGGGTGGGCTAAGCATCGGCAGACTGATCACGAAGTCAGTGGTTCAAACCCCTAGATTTACAACAATACAAATTAAATTGAAAACTTATCAAAAATGTGAGAAGCAAAGCTCGAAACAACACCTGTGTTCACATATGTGAAACTAGGGACAGGAAACCAGGTTCGAATCCCGTCTTGACTCATTTTTCCTTCTCCAAGTAGGTTTAACCCAAACCATTTCATTGCGATTTCAAGATTGAACTGAAGATTCATGATCTAGAAAAGTACGAGTCGTATATATGAAATTATTTTAAGTTATCAATGAAGTCGTATCTTAACCTTATTATCTATTTAATTAGAATTATTTTTGACAATTTTGTGATCTGTTTCGACTAAACTATATTTAGGCTTGACATTGACTCGAGGATCTTCACTTGATTTAGACACGTTTCGTGCTTCTTTCCGTCTAATATCTAAGTAGTTAATTATTTAAACTTAAATAATCAGAATACCCTTCATCGCCCATTTGCAATGGTTACAGGTTATTCAAATTTATTTTGATATTTGCTCTGCTATTGACTTTTTCGCTTTGACTTAGGGATTTTGGCTTTCGCCATTTCTAAAGGCCGAAGTTGACAAGTCTGCAATATTGATCGAGCTTTGGAGGAGGTCATCAGAATGTTCCAGCTTGTTTAACAAGGTGGGCTCTGGAGCCATCTGGAATAAAAGGATTTTCAAGGCACTGTTTTTACAAAAACTGCAATTCACGAGCAGCGCCCGCCAACCTAATACAATACTCCCACTCGCTCTCTCCCTCTCTCTGTCTCTCTCTCTCTCCATCTGTCACTTTCGGTGGAAAGTAAATCATTTTACGGAAATTCTTGCTATGCTTTCAGGGCAACTTTGTTTGTTTGCCTGTCATTTGGCCGGGCACGATTCTTGGCCAGGCCCAAATGAGATTATCCTCACGCCCTGACGGGGTGGCGGGCATTAACATTAAAATCAAAGCAAAGCCAAACATTTGCCAAGCTGTCGTGTTACTTAGTGCGTTAAAATTGTCGAGTGGTGGGCGAATGGCCGGAGGGCGGGCAGCGGAGCTTGGAGAGCGGCCAAATAACAGCCCACATGACTTGCTGTTGACCCATCTTCGCATTACCATTTTCCAACTTTGTCCTTTTTATTATGAATTTGCATTCGTCAACATGAACATTAGTGCGGACATTCTCCAAAATCTTTGGTCCCCCCCCACACACACACCTCTCTTTCTGTATATCTTCTACCGTCCCCCTTGTTGGCGCTAGGAGTGTTTTTGTTGTCTTGTTTATTTGTGGACGCCAGCGGGGCCACGTCCTGGGCCTTTGTCCAACTGCTTGTGGCGTTTTCGCAATTTGATTTATGTGTTTCATAACATTCATTAAGATATAATCATAACGCATAGAAAGCGCACAAATGGCACGTTCGCTCTAAGCGTTTGTGTGTGTGTGCGGAAGAAAGAGACACCGAGTGACATTTAGTGAATGCATATGTGTGTGTATCGCACTCTCATATTTCACAATGTCCTTGCTCGTTTTTGGACTCTGCGTCCTCCATTTAGATATATTTAATAGATCCACCAAAAGCATTTCCACTCACTTGCATCTCTCTACATACATAAATACCCTGTTATTATAACAACTTGGGTAGCCTTGATCTAAATATAAGAAATAACTTCTTTTGAAGTAGATTTGGTGCATGATTGGGTTGGGAAAACTTTTGTTAAAAGTACCACTTGATAATTTCGACATGTGCTTCTGACCGTACTATAGTACATTTTTTTTTAATTATAATCTCTAGACTATTTACTTACTTCACAGAGAATTCAGAAACTACTTACTTAACTAAAAAGATGAATACAAATTTGTGTGCTAATCAGAATCAGTCCTTGAAAATACTATATCTATAGACATAAAATAATTCATTATATAATTACAGAATTATAGCAAATTATTTGTTGTTAAACAAAAAGATTTGAGAAGATAAAGTTAGAGATAGGCTTAGCTAGATAAACTCTATTTATTACAAAAAAAAGCGACATATTTACAGATTTAATATTTTAATTTTCTGTCGGTTTTCCCAGGTTATCGGTTACGTGCAAAGTGTAACATAGGCATAAAATATAAATAGGTAAATAAATAATTAGCATTTGAAATTCAGCAAAAATCATAAATAAATAAATAATATTTAAAAGCAGGTCATGGAAAATTTGTGAAGCTCTTAGAAAATAATTGTCAGCCATTATATTAAATCAAAAACATAAAGTTGTGGGGCATGTTTTAAGAGTCTATTTAAAAGTGGGCCGGTCGAGCTGGTTACATGAAAATAGGCTGAAAATAAAAAACAGTATTTAAAGTTTTTTACTTACACTCAATTTCAACCAAGGGTATCTTTTAGTCGAGCGTAAAAACACTCTGAATTTGTTTTATTATTTGAAAATTGTATTTTCTATCTTTTTAATTTCCTGCAGTTTGCATTTACAGCCTCAGTTTTTGCTTTATTCTCTCCTCGGCTTGTAATCCTTTTGCTTGAATATGCAAAATAATTAAAAATATTTCTAATGCAAAGACAGAGTTAAAAGTTGTGTCTGTATCTGTGTGTCCTGTTGTGTGTGTGTGTGTATGTGTGCGTGGCCATGCTTTTTGTAGCAATTTGCAGTTATTTAGCATTTCTCTTGCTGGCCATTTATTTATTTCCATTTCATGTTCATATTCATTTGAATGGCATCTTGTGAATGTTGTCTCTAGTTTTTCCAGTTACTGTCAGTTATATCTCGCTCTCACTCTCTCTCTCTCTCTTTCTCTCAGTCTATTTATCTTCCTTGCTCTTATGACGCCCGTAAGTATGCTGTCATTTTTTATGTCATTTTAATTGCTACACGTTTTTGTTCATTGCCATAACAAATGCATTATTCTCGTATTCAATTTATTAAATGCAATTTTTACTCAATTTCTCTTTTCAGGTAAGTTTCCAAACGACCTGCGACAGCTTTTTCTTGACCTGAATTGCTTTGGGGTAAGCGCATTGCGTAATTTTAAGATTGGATTATATGAATGAAGGTAAAAATATAAAAGTGCTCGTTGCTCATTAAAATAAATGCAGAAAGTTGAGCTCTACCTAGTAAGGCAAAAGTCAACATTTGATACTTTGCTGGAGATAATAATAATATATATACAAAGACTGATTAAAACTGGAGAAGATATCAAGTACCTCGATTGTTAAGGCTGCTGCACGGAAAAATATTGCTTGCATAAATAAGTTGAGTTTATATAAATACAAATTAAAGGGGTGGTTATTGCTCTTATGCATATTGGAGTTTGCACAAAAGTTAAAAAGTTCCCATTAATTGTTAAAACAGATTTCTAAACGAGTCTCAATCTTTATGTGGATACATGACACCCATGCGAACTTAGTTTATTGAAAGGAATTAAGTCTGACTCCAATAAATTATAACATCGAGTTTTGAAGTTAGTTAGAGTTTTGAATTTTAATGATTGATTATCTCTTGTTTATGCCTTAAAATGAAGCCTAACTCCATTTGAGTTACCTGCAGGGTTCTGCAAGCATTCCGGCCAAGACTCAATATTATTTTTGCCAGAAATATATTGGTTCTGAATTAACAAAGAATTAATTGTTTGCAGACGCATATTTTAAGTTAACTTTTAATACTTGTCTTGGCGATAAAATAAGTGAAAGGGTCAATCAATTTGTCTAATCCCTGAAATCGTGCTTTCGTTCCACTGTGCGTCGTGCGGCCATCTCCATGTTCAATGTCTTTATGACTCTTGGCGCTTTGTGGCACCCCAATGCGCCTTCAACGCTGCTGCCATATGTGCATCGTCACATTGGCCGTATTGCCCAAGGATTCGTTCCTCATTTACTGCCAGAGTTGCCTGCAATCGCAGTCTCATTCGCAGTCGCAGTGGCAGTCGCGATGCCTGTGCCATTTCCAATCCGGCTATAAGTAACTAAAACTTTCGTGCTACGCGGCGACTACCGTGTTGCATATGAGTGTAGCAGCAGTAGCAGTAGCAGTGGCAGTAGCAGTAGCAACAGCAGCTAGAGCTGCAGTCGTTGTGGCAGGGCCTGTCAGCTTCGGCTTGGCCCATAGACTCTGTTGCTTTGTTGCCAGCGCGTGCCTGGCCAAATTTATGTGCCACACCAGGGCCACCACTTGCCCCAGGCAGCCCCCCTCGCCACTCTCTCTCCCTCCCCGCCCCTTGCTACTCGACCTGTGACTGCAGAAGTTAAACCAATATTATTTCTCTTCTTCTTTCCCTCCTTTTTTTTTGCACCTCTTTCGCTCTCGTGTGCTCTTCGGCTCCCCACAGTGCAATTTGTCTTTTGGCTCCATTTTCAGTTTGCGCTCCGCTTTTTCGATTTTTTCGGTCAGTGGCAATTGGCCCCGACCGGTGGACGTCGTCCGGAAGAGCAGCGCTTGCAGCTGCATTATGCACACACACTCGCACACACTTATACCATAAAATTTTCCGGCTGTTTTCACGTTGCAGGAAACTCGTGAATTTCGCGTCCTTTGTGGCAGCTAAGGGGGCATAAAAATGAATGTCGTATTTATTTTTTGTCAATTTTGCAGCGTTCCCATTTTCGCTGCTGTTGTTGTTCTTGGTCTTGTTGTTGTTGTTGTTGTAGTTGTTGTTTAGTGTGCCAATTTCTGCTCTAGTTACGTGCATGCTGAAGGTGGTTCGTGACTTGAAAGCTTATTAAACATAATTTAAAGGACATTGAAACCCCACCGTCCCCCACCCACATTCGCTGCTCAAAAACAAACGAAAAATTAGGCAACGGGCTTTCAATGCGTTAATTAAGTGGCCAAAAGGGGGGGCCGGGGCTGCGGACGCGGGAAATTGTGTAAATTAGTGAGTCAATTAGAGGCCAGGAGAGTAAAGCGGAGTCCTTCAGCTATGGCTAGCCCGCCCACCTTTTCGTGCGCCCACTTTCGAGACAATGAGGCAGCCATAAAAAGTGATTTTCAAATGCGTATTTACACAAATTGCAAAAGCTGCACCAAATATTCTGTATAAACTTGTATGAGTGGCTATTCGTGTGTGGCTGCAGCAGTATGGCAGCTGCAGGCATTGCGGTTGCGGTGGAACAACCACAAGGCAACATGCACGGCAAGCAGAAACCACTTCAGTTCCTGAACTGTACTGGTGGGCGTGGCAGCGACCAGTAGCGTTGGCTAGCTACATTGATATATCCTGGCATACATTTTCTGGCATTGACTTGAAATCGAACGTTGGTATCAATGCACTATGCACTATGCATTGGAAATCAAGGCGGAAAAACAATTGAAACTTGATTTTCTACACATTTTCCGACTCGCACTGATTATCAGTGTGGACTATAATTAGCCCCATTGAAAGGATCATAAGAAAACGGAAAATAACAGAAGAGAAACAAAATAAGAAATACAAGTAAGAGTGCTCCGCTCGGGAGTGCGCGACTGGGAGATACCCTGAACCTGCCAAACATTCCTGCTTTCTTCTATACATAACTTTGCTTCTTCTTCAATGAAATCCATTCGGTGCTAATAGTCCGTTCTTTACACATATTTTCAGTTTACCAAAGCACAAGACTTCCAATCGGGAATGGGTAGAAATATCCAAAATGTAAATTAGTTTTAATCTGTATACTTTACACAAGAACCTACATATCTAGATCATATCATGACTTATCTCAAGAGCGAAAATATGAAAATAGGAGGAGATATCAAAGAAAAAAATGCGTTCTGCCTATGATAAACGAAAATATATAAATATATATGAAATTTCAAGTTCTAAGCTTTTTTAGCTTCTGAGATCGAAGCGTTCACACAGACGGACATGGCTACATCGACTCAGCTCGTCGTCCTGAGCCAGAATGTATGTATGGGGTCGAAGATACTCCCTTCTGATTGCTACAGACACACACACATACACTCACACATACTGCTTTGCGTATGACAGTTTTAGGTTTGCTGCTGTTTATTGTTGCTGCTGTTGTTGTTGGCTTGTTGTTTTATTAGATCATTTGAAATTCTATGCCAAGCAGTCGCTCTTTTTGCTTATTTGCATAAGCAAAGGGGAAAGGGTGCTAGATGGGCCACACATGCACTGCATGCAGACTAAGCAGTAGCCATGTGTGTGTGTGTGTGTGTGCACGTATGTGGTTGGCCGTGTTGCTGCAGCCATATTTCAGCGCCTTCACTACTTGGGCAATGGCAACAATTCTAAAGCAATGCAGCAACGTTGCTGCCTCTGCCGCTGCTGCTGCTGCTGCTGCTGCTGCCGCTGTTGCTGTGGCAAGTTATTAAGCTGAGCAAAATGGCCGACATTCCGTCGACCCCTCACTATGTTTCACCGTACGCCCCATCCAATTCTTACCGAATGCGCTGTAGAGTGCGCCCATAAAAGTAGGCAACAAATTGTTGTTGTTTGCCACTCTGGCCGCAAATGCAACTTGAAGTGCGGCCAGTTAAAGTGTTTGGCATTTTAAGGCCTAACCAAGCAGAGGATACTCAGAAGTCACTATCCAACCCCCCCCCCCCCCCCCCCTTTCACTCTGCTGCCCACCCTCCTCCAACACCCAACCGCATCCGAACCCTTTGGGGCTGTAAACTTTTGCTGCTTTATGATGCGGCCCATGCGGCACGTTTAAACAATTGCAAAGTTTTATGAGTTTTTCGGGACTTTGAGGCAGCAACTGGCCCAGCATGGCCCCGGCTTCGGGTCCAGCTCGATGCCATATACGGAAACTACAAAGCACTTGCCCGCATCCAACATCAGCGCTTGTGATGCACTTTTCGCGTTGCCACAGTTGAAGTCACGGGGGCTCCATTCATAAATGTTGCACGTTTTGTGACACAGTCGATGAGTGGTTGAGCGGTTGAGTGGCTGAGCGGTTGCGCCAGCGGGTGGCTAATTGAACAGCCGCTTAACACAGGCCGCGTGGCATGACAAATGTTAAAGTCAATTTCGCCAGTTTTCTCGAAGGCCCTCCCTTCTGAACAATGCTCGGAATTTCTGGACAATGTTGGCTGGAGGGCGGTTATCAGAGGAGAGGAGCTGGGGTAAATGGCCATATTGCTGCATGCAGGCATTTCGTTTCATTTGCTGCCATTGCTTAATTTCATAAATTATAAATCATTACAATTGCAATTAAATGCGTGGAAACCGCTGTGCACCGCCCGCTCTACCCCTCACCGCGGGCTCGTTTACCGCAATTGCAGCAATTATTTGTTAGTTGACGTTAATTAGCTACATTTCTGGGTAGCCTAATGGAATTCGCGAGCCCGGGACGCGCCAGCAATCGAGTCGTATTCCTAAACGACCCACAAAGGAAACAATCCGTAAAAATATAAAGGAAAAATAAAACTTTATTGGCGTGGGCAAACATTAAATACCCTTACGCCAGCAGCAGCTAAGCATATGATATATTTATGTGTTTGTAAGTAAAACCATGATTTCCGAGTACCTTTTCTATTGAATGTTAAATGAGTAGTAAATTAACTGAACGATTGTCTCTATGCCCCTTTTATATGTGTATGTATAAATGATAACCAAACCAGTTCATAGTGAAAATGGTAATACCCTTTGCTAGGGTAAAATAAATACATGAAATATGCTGAACTGAAAGACAATGTCCAAGGCGCACTGTGTGCGAGGACTTGAGCGTGATAGACGAGGAAGGCAAGTGAAGTGAGCGGGATAGACAGACTATTTGAATTCCCAACTGGTACCCGGTATCGCCCGGCGGCAGCAAAATATTAATTTTTATGACAGGCAAATCGTAAAAACTAACTAACGACGGTCCGGCAGGCGCATAAACTCACTTGATGCGCTCCCTGGGCCATGCTCTCTAGTCTTCCCTACTCTCATTATATACCCTACGCCCTACGCAACTAGGGTGCTTATGAATTGGCCTTAATGTGGCGCCAGTTGCATCTCTGTGCGCACCTTACTAAATATTCCGTTTATATTAAAAAGAATTGAGAGATCTAATCAAAATTGGTTTCTAAATTTTAGAAAATACTCATAAAAAAATATACATATTAAGTATACGTATATCATATCAAGTA